TCTTTAAATACTTCTGAATGTACTGTAATTCTTTGGTTCCATGGTAGATCTGATGTAAATGAGTTTCATATTTGTATTTTTATTTCAGAGAAGTCATTGGCAACTTGGACTATTTTTTTTCATCTTCATTTGATTAAATATTCATAATATTAATCTTTTTATACTTAATTAGCAAAATTTTTAAAATGGTACAAGTTTATCCCCATTCTAAAAATGATTAAAGCATTGCTGACAATATTGACTATTCAGTAGATAATACTTTAGAAAATTGAAGTTACAAACCTGATAACAATGTTGCCACCATGGAACAACACTTAACTGATGAAACTAATTTATATAATTATGTCAACAAAGTGAAAGCGTTTGAAAGCAAAGTTTTGGAGTCAGAAGGCGTTGATCAAAATCAAATTAAAAATGACACTGTATCATTTACAATCTCTTCTGATTAAACATTTGAAAAGGAATAAAAATCCATAAAATTATGTAATATTTTATTACAAAGAAAATAGCAGAGAAACAAGGGGATCTAGGTGAAGCAAACGAGCATATAAATTTACTCATCAGGATATTGAAAATTTAAGAGAAGAATTAGCCATTGAGCAAGAATATTATCAAGTAATGGATAATTGATATAAAAACAATTAGATAGCAAGAGTTCCCAAAGAAGAAATGAATTGTTTAATGACATCCTAGAATTAAGGCGAGAAATTAATCAATGGAGTGAAGGAAATGAAGAATTGAAACAAGCCATTGAAAGAGGGAAGCAAATAGTTAAACAAGAAATAAAATAAAGGAATGAAAAAATCAATCATGACAATTTATAAAATGATCAAAATTCAATTAATGAGAACAGAAGTTTACAACAACAATTGAATGAAAAGAGTAGAGAAATAAGTGACTTGAAAAATGAGGTAACAAATTTAAAGCAGGAAATTGAAAACTTAAAAGTAGTCATTGAAATGGAGAAGAAAACCAAAATGAATCGACAACAAAACTAAAGCAACACCAAATATAAACATGACAAACTCATTAAAGAGGTCAAAAAAGAAAAGGCAATACAAAAACTGATCATGAAATTTATCAAAAACCAATCAAAGCACAAAAGAAAGAAATCTAAGAATTGAAAACTAAACTTCAAGAAGTAAGACAACAACGTAATCAATAAAAACAGAAAACAAAAAAAGATGAGGGAGGTATTAAAGGACATAAGCCAATTACAGACAACAAGAACCAACAAAAAAGATGAAAAATAAAAAATTTAGATAATGAACTAAAAGCAAAAAGGGAAAGGAGCAAGCAAATAACCAACAACTAGAGAATGATATTGCTCAATTAAAATAGCAACTAAAATATTTAAAAATAATAACCTGAACAGCAAAAACCTATTCAGGAATAAAGTTAAAGAATTAGTTATAGAACAAAAACCTAAATTAGAAAATTATTTAACTGAGCAAAAACAAAGTGATAGTCCAAACTCTAAAATTAGAAGTGAAATTCAACAAATCAAATTAAGCTAAATAGAAAACCTGAACAACTGAGTGAAGGTAAAGGTGAAAGAAATGAAAGAAAAGCAAATCAAGTATGATTTTAATAGAAGTTGAAAAATATTGAAGTTGGGAGAATTATTGATTAATGTATTTATTTTATACATTAATTGAAATAAATATAGATATTGTCATCCATAATAAATTATAATCAAGTATCAGCAAATGGTTTTGGGTTTATGGGTTTATCAAGTCAAACTTGTTATTTATTATTGATGTTATACAGGAAAACCTATACTATTTAGTAAAAAACAATGAATACTGATCCAGGAAAACGATTGTTATTTACTGACAAAAACGTCTTTGACGAATTCTATCATTGATGAAAAAGAAGCATGATAAATAATAATGATATAACAAGCGTATTTTTCTACATAAAAAAAATCTGATTATCATTATTAGAAGAAAAAGATGTTCACTAAGAAAAAGACTAGGAGGCATTTCAAATCTCATACTTCGCAAAGGAGCTGCGGAACGGGATACATTAGATGTATAGTAAAAGAGATTATTCATGATCCAAGTCGTGACGCATTCTCTTACGAAAATTCAATTTATCAAGCTCGTTAATATCAGCAAGTTGAGCAACAACCCATTTATTTGCTTGAAGGTTTTCTTCAGCATCCTTATAGTCTTGTGAGTTAGTATTCTTAAATGAAAAATAACCCTTCTTGTACTTGGGGTATAAAAATGATGCCTAATTTGGACAGTTAATTGATGACAATAAATTTTATAGATTTTGATATTCTATAACTAATACTATTCGAATCAATTTAATACAAATAAATGAAAATTTTAAATATAAATTAATCAGAGATTCGGTTTGTTAATTTTTATTTATAACAATGTAGTCTGATGACAATTCTTCGATATTCTTTCAATGGGATTTGGAATTGGGTCTGATCTCGATGTAACCTAAACATCCTTCATCGAATTTTGTGTATTCACAAACGACGCGGTTGTCTTTGTATTTAGAATCTGTCATATGTGATGTTTTTATAACAATCTCGATTTCTTAATATATATAAATAGGATTATATTAAAAACAATAAAATTATTATATGACTATGGAACCTAAGAATTATAGGATTATTAGAAGTATTCTTAAGCAAGGACAAGGTTAGAAGAATAATATTACCAGTATCCTGTATTGGCTTTGGGCAAGTGATTGATATCTTTAAATTGTTCTTTGACAAAAGAGACAAATATTATTGCAAAGATATGCTAATGTTCATAAGAATATATACAAATCATGAATCGCCTGAAAACATTGGAAAAGACGTACCATAATCTAGTTAATGGGAAATGTTGGTTGCTACGCTAGATTAATAATCAAGCTTTCCACTCCCAATTGTTTCTTCTGTTTTTGAAACGCCATATGTGCAAGTAAATTATGTAATATTTACTGGATCGATTCATCCTATCAAATAAAAGTCTAAAGAGGATGTTAGTCAACCTATGTTAATCTGATATTTCCTGCGGCTAATTTAATATTATTTAATTGATGATTTTATTAAATTTACAGTAAAAAATTATTTAAATAAGAATACTTTTGAATCAAAACTACAAACTCGTATTGAGAGTTATTTATTATATTCATGTATAATAAGCCTTTTGCTTTTTTTCAAGAACCAACTTGGCGAAGAGTTTAATTGTTTCCGTGTTGTTACATGCACCCTTTATCTCTCTTTAAAAAATCTATTAATAGTAACGTTCTTATTTATTAAAATGGTAGGACGAGCCCAGATCACAAATATATATATATATATTATTATTCTAAATTTTATAAATTATTAGAAATTAAAAACACCAAGTCTCACTACTAAACAAAGAAATTGTACAGTTTCAGTAGCTGAATAAAAATTCAACGCTTCTATCAGCAATTTTATATGATAGACAAAATGTTCTTCGAATTTACGAAGTGTTCTATCCTGATAATCCATTTGTATTATTGTTGTCATAGATTCAACTTGTGTTTCAAGTGACACGAGTGATTTTGTAAACTTCTCTGTATAGTTAGCAAATAAAACACATGTATATAACAGTTTTGAATATATCTATTATCATAGAAAAAGAGCATTTATATGAGATTTAATTAACGAGAGAGAACAAAATTATCTAATCAGATGTAAAAAACCTACTCTTAACAACTTGGCATTAGTTAGCATACATTCTTTAAGGCATGTATCTAAAAAATCCGAATGATATTTTAATACTTGATCTACTGTTGATGCCTATAAATATATGTAAATAATTATGAATAATTAATTAGCCAATTTGTTTAAATAAAGAAATCAAAAAATAATACTTTTTCCAAGCTAGCTTCCAGATTTCTCGATTGAGGTTCTAATACTTCACTAGTTACATAATAGATGAATTGTTGGACGAATACTATCATCTTTTGTCTAAGAGCATACAACTGTCCTTTCCATCCTTCAATGCTTGGATGTCCAGATCCGTGCTTCCAATAATATGATTTTGTATGTTCTTTCCACGTGTTATATAATAATTGTTCTGCATGCTTAAGATAAAATAAATGTCTGAATAATAATTGATATTTGGTAAGTGATTTACGTGAAATTACAAGCGATAATGGAAATGGTACAATGTAATCAAATGTAAGTGCTTCAATTCCTTCAATAGTAAAATAAATAAGACATTAATAAAAATTAATAAAAATTTCCATTAAAAATAATAAATACATGAGCAAAAAATAACTTATAAATTTCAAAAAATAACCAAAAAATTTTTTTTAAAACAAATTAACCAAATCATTTGATATATTACTATTATTGTTTGGATTTGACGTTGTTGATTGGCTTGTAGATGAGGTATCATCTCCAAATAAACCTAATAAATCATCAACATTAGCACTAGTAGTTGATTTAGATGTTGATTTAGATGTTGATGATGATGATGTTATTGTTGAAGGAAATGTTGTTGCAGGTGCTGCATTAATAGGACTATCATCATAATCAAGATCCAACAAATTTTCAACGTTAGTTTTAACTTGCATTCGAATAGATGATTCATTTGAAGCTTCTTCTTGTTCCCTTTAAAAATAAAATGAGAGAAAAGTTATAAAAATGTCAATGGTAAGTATAATTTTTTTGGCAAAAGAAATAAAACCATATAATATAAGCATTGCCTTCCTTTACTCACTCAATAGCTTTCTTTTGAACAGCATCAGCTCCAAATCTACCTTTTCCAATAAATGTTTCTGGGGGTTTATGATATACACTTGCCAATGTAGAAATATTATTAATTAATTCCTCCAAAAGAGGCCCTGACATTGAATTACTTTGTACTGATATTGTTGGTTTATCAGATAAAACTACAGCCTATTTTATCATTTAAACCAAAAAAAAAAATATTAACAAGAATAAATGATTAAATAAATAACACAATATATAAATATAAATATACATTTACCTTTCCAGCTTGTGGGTCAGTTGAAAGTAATCTCCAATAAATATAAGCGCGGTCTCTAATATCAGGATTGTCACATTGTTTGGTCGCAAGTTGTAACATTTTCTGTACTGTATCTGGAGTAGTTTGTGGTTTTTTTAGAAATAATTTAATTGTTGCAGTAACTAGTTGTAATTGTACCTATTCAAAAATATTTAAAATAAGTAAATAATATATATATATATATATGAGCGAACGAATGAATATAAATATATTACCTGGGAACTTTCATCACGAAAAGTATCCAAAAACGTAAGAATTAAATCATGGGCATTTTCTATTTTTTCAGCATATTCTCCGATGATCCAAATAAGCGAAGCCTTTGCTTCTGGTTCGTCTAATGCATCTAAATTTTCACATAGTGTTGGAATGATTCCCTCATATTTGTGAGGATATTTCCGGAATATATCCTATTTGAAATTCATTTCAAATTATTATTTTACATGATAATATTTCAATATTATGGAATAAAAATGTAATTTAACAATAAATATATTACTTTAATAACTACTATTGCTTCCTGAACCACATAATTGACTCTTGTATTTATCAAATCTAATAAAACATTAACACATCTTTCAGACGTCTCATCAATTTTAATTGCGCACTGTCCAATAACTCTAACGGATTTTCTCACAATATCAACATCAACTTCAGAAGCATATCTATAATAAAGGATTAAGAATAATACATTAATGTATTGATCTAAAATAAATTTTTTGATAAATTATTAAATTATTAGTTATTTGTTCCTTCCTTACTCTTTTAGTTCAGATAATAATTGGTCCACATTTTTTTCACTAGCTAATTTTATCATAATTTCCAATTTTTCCAATTTTATGTAAGGTGGATCATTATATTTACAAAAGAAAACTCTAATTTCATTTTGTAAAATGTCAGGTTGTTTTTGTAAAATAAGGTTTATATTTCTTAATGCAACATATTGCACTTCTGGGGCTGAGGATAACAATGTGACTGTAATAAATTTTTTGTCAGTTAATAATTATGAAAGTAGTAATGGTAATAGTGATGATGATTATGATGACGATGATTATAAATCGCAAAATATACCTAAAGGTGGTGCCATCTTTTTTATTAATTGTCGGATTAAATCATCATTTTTTATAATTCTCAAGTAAATTATTATTACCTATTAATATTTATATGATAATAATTATAATTATTATGATAAACCATCGACAATAAAAAATATAAATGAAACTTTCAGATATACCTTAATTGCTGATAATACTACACTTGCATTAGCATGCTGGAATTGTGGAATAACACGTTCAACTATATGTTCAGCTTCTTTACTATCAGCTGGTTTAAAATCTGCTAATGCTGTTAATATAGCAATCCTGCCCCATCTATGTTAATATATTATGAAAATTGATTAACCAATAAATCTAGACTAATAAATATATTAAGTAGTAAAATATGTATACATGTAATGATAAATTAATACATACTCTGTACACACGTTTAAAGCTGCTAATAATTTTGTAAGTGTTGATGTGTTAATAATAAATAAATCTTTTGTGGTTGATGCCTCATTTATTTCAGCAAGTGCAGTTATAGCATTAGCTACAACCTTTATTATTATTATTAATTATAAATAAATAATTTAAAGAATTTAAAAATACTATGTGAATAAAAATGAATGAGCAAATACACATCATTATCCATCTTTACCATTGGATTTGAATCTGAAACCATGTCTTGTAGCAAGGAAACAAACCCATTTTCAATAGCTAACTCGGGGTTTAAGTCATATAATTTAGCAACACAAATCGAAGCAGTTTTTCTAACATAAGGATCATCATCCTACAAAGAAGAATATTTTCTATTCATGTTAAATTTCGAAAAAAAAAAATTTATTATCATCAAAAGATAATCAAAAAAAAAATTATTTTTATTATTGTTACGGTAACAATTATAATAATAAAAATTGGAAAAATCACCTTTAAACATTTCCTCAATGGCTCACAAAGATAATCAATAATTTTTTCTACTCGAATACATCCCATGGTTCTAATAGCCAGTGCACGAATTAATGGATTACTATCATCCGTGTCCTTTTAGATGTACATATATTAATTAAAATAAATAAATTAATTAATTAATTAATTGAATGACTGACTGTGACCGGAATGAGCGTATGAAAATAAGGTTTTAACTTATCAAATCCACTTATTACATATTATAAATACCTTTACAAAAGTATTTACAGCTAAAATGACCAACTCAGGTTGAGTCTTTGCATAATTCATCAAATATAAATATACCAGTTTCTTTTGTTCTAAATCTTCTGTTTGCATATTTTTTAAAACTTCAGGAAATAATCCCGAAACATCTTTTCCAACTGTCATATTAGCAATCACTTTTTTAATTGCATCTTTACGGCGATCTCGATATTCACTGTTAAGATCAGCTCGAAGCTCATAGTTTTCACCTTAAAAGATGTTTTTTTTAGAATTAAAAAAATTTGTTTTTGTACGACAAGTTTTATACGTCAAGAGATTACCTTTTTTTGCTGTGGTAAAAAACTTTGGTTTATTTACTCGAAGGTCAGTCATATATATATACTCTCGAAACAAATTTAGTTTAAAAAAAAATTTTTAACCGCGTAATTTTCAAAAATTTTTTGTGACAATGGTTACATTCATTTATGTATTTATATTTATCACCAAATTTTCCATCCATCACAGAGGACAAATTTATTATTTAACAACCTTATTAATTCCAACAAGGACACTTACCATTAAAATATATCAGAAAACTTGTAAATGATTTGATCAAGTTCTTAGATAAAACAGATTTTTATGATGCAGAGATTAAGTTAGAGAGAGAGAGAACTAGGATCCTGACAATTGTATGAAAAAGAAAACACATCTCCAAAGTACTTGAAGTGCTTTTAATGATTATAAAATCTAAAAAATTCCATGTTTACAATGGAACTATGGATGTAGATAATTCAATCCAGAGAAATTGTTGAGCTTTCTTGAATTAACGAAATTACAAACAAGATTTAAATTATAGACACCAATTGTTCACTTTACTTTATGACCAGAATTATTTTTAAAGTCAAATGATTTTAAATATATTGAAAACCTATCTACAGTTATGTCTATATTAGAAAAGATAATTTAGTATTAGACGAAATTGATAATTTGGGACTTTTGTTGTTCAATGGGGAATAGGACAATGGCAGACATTCTTCTATCAATCAAATGTTTTTATGAATGATTTAATTAAAAAGTACATGAAAAAGCTCTTCAATATCATTCTAGTGAAGATTTTTAATATGGGATTCAAAAATTGCAGATCTTTCCAAGATTTAATGTTAATGTTATCCGAAACAGTTTAATATCTCTTGATTTTTATTAAGTAAACATGTTATGTTTCTAAGCTAAAAATATTCTACATCTTAACTTACATGTAACTGCATTATCATCTCAAAAATAGCCAAAAAATATTAATATGATTTTTATTTGATTTTGATTTCTATAAATGTTGTTGAAGAAGAGTTAGTTATTCCAGGTTACTTGTGGGATGATTTTACTGATTAAAGTGCCCCAGCTATTTTACAAATTTGGAAGAAGATTTATTGTAAAAAAACTGTAAAATCGATTTTTTCGATGACTGTTAATATTAAGGGCACGGTCTCATACGTGACTTGATCATCGACGTCTAAAAACCGTTTTAATTTCCGAAAATTTTAGGGAAAATCAATGGCTCAAAAATGTACTGATATGTGATAGAATCTGAGCGTGTAGACTTTATAAAGGCAGAGTACACCTTCATATATTTCTAAAGAGATAGTCTTGAAGAGTTACCAAAGGATGTTCTAACCTTTCGAGTGTTTATAAAAATGAATTTAAAATTTTGTTGAAAAAGAAAATAATGAATAGCCAACAAAATAAAGATCTTTGTTATTTGAATTATTATGAATGATCAAAAAATATCTTTTTATGGATAGTGTAGAAAAAAAACCCATGTTTTTATAATTTTAAACTATATATTTCATGAATTTAAAATTTACTTATTTTTCTAAAATAACAAATGATAGCGATTGATGATAATGATAATAATAAATTTATAAATTACAATCCATAGAATATAATAATAATTTAGTAAAATGTTGAAGGACGTTTTGCCAAGAATTTGGTTTTTCTTTCGGACCGCATAACGCGATGAGGTAAAGGAAATCTAAGGTTCTTTTCAAGTAGTTGTTTAATATATGGACGTTTCACCTATATTAAAGAAAAAAAAAATTTGACAATATAAATATTTTATATATCTATTTTTTTTTAAAAAAAATTAACCATAAAATATTACTTGAGAAGTCTTAATTTCTGCAATTCTCAATATTTGAATGGATGAGAATCGCGCACGATGACGAGCTGCCATATCTTGATCTATTAATGAATTTAAATAAACAAAATATATGTATATTATTATTATTGTTACTATTATTTATTCATTATTAAAAAATCTATTTAATAGTTATATAAAGATGACTTGCATGCTGAAGAAACTGCATCTGTTCTGTAATGTTTAAAAAAAAAATTTGTTTTTTTTAAATATTTTAGTAACATTTTAATGATAATTAAAAAATATTTGAATTTGGATATCTATGATTTTTTAAAAATGGGATTGGTACTTAAAGTCCTTCTTTGACTATTAGAGGTACCTTCCCTACAAGTAAGATCTTTTACTAATCTATATACTTCAAATTCTTCTATCAAATGAACTCGTTTATTTCTATTTCTAGGATTCAAATTTCTTTCATAACTATTGAAATAATAATAATAACAATATGGTTCATTATTGATACTGTTATATATTGCTAAATCATAAAGATAAATTAATATTTCATGAAAATCTATATTATCAAAAGTATAATTAACATTTTGTTTACTATGCCAAATTGCACATCCAGGATCCTTGACTCTGCTTAATATTGAGTTATTTATTTGATTTTCATTAATTTTAAAAATAAAGCTTTTGTCTGTTTCAATAAAATAAATTTCATCTGAAGACATTTCTTTTATATTCCAGCAAACTGGATTATAGCTACCAACCAGTTCACCTGTTTCTTTGATTTTCATTATAGCCACAGTTTGTTCTATATTATAGCATTTCTTTTCAAAAACAGACCTAGAAAATCCATCAAGAGATCCACAAAAAATTGATTTAAATCGGTAAGGAACATTATCTTCATTATATAGTTCATTTTTTCCATCAATCCATTTAGAAATTAAACATTTCATTTGTAAATTTAATATTTTTCCAGTTTCTGCCCTTGAACCTTTATGAAGTGATAATTTTGGATTCCATTTATCACAAAGATAATATTGAAAAAGTTCTTCATACATTTCTTTAATAAAGACCTTTTCATAAGGTTTAATCTTTTCATAAAAATCAGTTGATGAAATTTCCTTGAATCTTATCAATGGAATAATATCTTTCAATATATTTTTCAACATGATAAAATCCTCCTTCTTCCACTTAAAAATGTCTTTTTCCAATTCTTCATCTTGACTTATTCCCCATTGAACAACAATATCCCAAATCTCAATTTCTTTTAATTCTAAATCATCTCTTTCTATTATAGACATAAACATAGGTTTTTCAATATCTCTAAAATCTTCAACTTTTAAAAACAAGTCTGGATTATCAAACATCAACTCATCAAAATAATCATTAAGTAAATTGAATGTATGGTGATTTAATGAAATTTGATAAATGTAAATTAAATTCTGTTGTAACCATTCTTTTTTTTCAGTAATTAAATGATTTTGCAAGTCCTCAATTAATTCATCAATATTTAATTCATCACATGCTTCAAGAAGTTCAATAATTTCATCTGGATTCAACTTATTTGGATTAGCAATTCCATTGTAAATATATCTTTTAAAACAAAAACAAATAAATATAAAATGCTAAGTCAAACCAAATTAAATTTATATTTATATTAAATTAAATAATTCTTACGTTAAAATAACTTCAAATACTTTTGGAGAAATATTTTTTTTTTCAAATAAAATAATACCATTTTCAGACCTTTTTAACCAATTATTAGATAAAGCAGCTTTAAAATATTGGGATCTTGCTCTTAAAATTGTAGAATGAGCTTTGAAAGTTTTAACATCCTCTTGTTCACCTCCAACTTTAATTTCTACATCATAAGAATCAGATTCATTTAATAATTTTGATAAATCATTCACAAGTTTATCAATATATTTTAATGTCAGAACATCTTTGTTAGAAATAATAAGGCTGTTAAACAGTAAGTTTATATTTTCTAAGGATGAAAAACTAGTTGGCATTTTTGATGTAAATTTTTTATTTTATTAAAAAAAAGTGTTTTTTTTTTGCAATTATTACATTGCAGAAATTTCTACTGCATCATTGTCACATATTCGTAATTTACCAAATGATACCCTTCTGTGTTACCTAGATTATTCATCATTTCTACTCGACGATTCTATAAAAATAACAACTCCTCAAGAAAATCCCCAATAAACTGAATTTGCAAATTCAAATTCTTGAAAGATTCAATTCATGCAAAATTTCCTATAACAAATAATGATAATAATGAATCAGTTATTATATATAACTGATTTAATAAAAGTTGTTTCCGAGTTGTTCATAAGCAATTACTGAATTGAAATGATTATAAACAATAACTGCTTAATTAATTCTATCCTCTCCTTTAATATGATGTCACATGCTTCAACACATGCACCAATTTGATTGAACGAAAGTTTAATGTTATCGCAAACTGATCGTGAAAGTTGCACTCCGGCTTTATCACCGAGAACTACCAATTGAAAACCAGAATTTCATCAATCAGTACGAGAAGCCTTTGAAACACTATTATGAATACCACTGCAAAGACCACGATCTGATGAAACAGTAATTATAAGAGTATTTCAAGTTTGATATCAGCATGAATAAAAAATTATTAAATTATTAATTAAATAATTTTGCGAGCAATATCCTCCTTATGTTTGAGTAACTCCAAAAACCTAGCAATATTATTATTATTATTAACTAACATACTTTAATGTTGCGAAATTTCTATTTTGGCCTATGATACTTTAAGTTATAAGTTTTGTTGTATTTTGTTGTACTGGAAACTATATTCATAAACCTCCAGATGGTATTAGTATTAACTGCAGCCGGACAAACAACTTTAATAACGAACATTTTATATAACAAAAACAAAAAATTTCTTTTTTTTTTTTTAACATTTCGAATAAAATTTTTAGGGTTCATTTTTATTTAATGTCC